TCTTTTTTCCAGCATAAATCTTCTTCTGATCCAGGCAAAGTTGTAGTGCAGAATAAAAATATGTTCTACATCCAGCTGACCTATTTTTTTTTTCTCTTTGCACCTGTTTTACTTCACACACTGTACTTCTTCATGAGGTGAACATACGAGCTAAATAGATTGACAGTAAGCTATTTATTGAATGTAATTATTTGAAAAGAATATTTCAGTAAGACACCACTGTGTGGTGGTCTTTTATTTGAAAGGAAGTAGAATGTGTCCCTCTTCCCTCCTGTGCTGTCCGACAGCCTGCTTTGCATTTAGGACTACATCCCAAAAGACTACAGACATCATTTTCATATGGACAGCAGCTAAACAGCATTTCGTCCTCAAGTTACTTTTTTGCTTTGGCTGACGTGTCGTTAAGAGGGGGAATAAAAATAAGTGATGTATCTTAATTTTTTCTTATTTGGAAGATGATCTTGGAAGGCTTAAGTGTTCTCAGTTTATTTGTAGGAGGAAAGGGGAATGTTGCTTCTTAGATAGCTGGAGATATTTACTTTGGCGATGGCTACGTCTGCATTGCTGAAGTCATGCGCTGAGTGCAGCGATTGAGTTCAAGAGGTGTTTCTAGATCAAAGCCCTTTAACTGGTAGCCACTGTCAAACAAGTAATTTAGTGAAATAGGCTGCACCGTTAAAAGTTACAAGGGGAAATTGCTGAATTTATTCATTGTAACGGGTTACAGGGAGGACTTTTGCACATGTGAAAAACTTGTAGAAAACCTTTTGTAAAGGGAAGCTGTGTGAAGTCTGGTGCTGTGTGGCTGACTCCAATCAGCAATGCAAGAAGGAAGTCATGAGGTAAATGTATTATCGCCACAGTTGAATGTGTGTGTTTTACAAAAGTACAGTTTGAAAACTCTCAGTTTACGTCTTCTTTACATAACTTTTGGTCTGTATGATCTTGTTACAGCGATCTTGGTAAGCCAGGGTGAGTGCCAGTGCTTCATCTGTTATGTGGCTAAACCAGGATGG